ATATTTACTTAAAAAATAAATGCTTACATTTAAGATCTGAATATTATTATCTCGTGTTTACATTAACCATAAATTAAATTAAACTAAAAAAATTACAGCCAAACCTGTAAACAACGGCTATTGACAGGAACATTAAAAATGAGAGTTGTCCGTTGTTTTGAGGTTATTTTGTATTTATTTTTTTCTAAAAAAATATCCTGGATAGATGGCTGCCGTTTAGAGGTAGCCGTTGTTGGCGGTTCGACTGTATTATATTTAATTTTAATATTACACAAATTAAATTATTATAAAATTAAACCTGGATAAACAAGTAAATATTTATTAGCATTATAAACTTAATTATAATAATATATCATTTAATAATGACTTAAATGAAAAAGATCTGATAAAATTTAATAACTTTTCCTCATCTAACTGTAATGTAAACTTACATTAAAAATATATAATATTATAATTTAATTAAATGTTTTTAACAGAAATAATTTATAAAAATACACAAATTATATACATTATATATTTATATCGATAGTAATAAGTTTAATGAATGAAATGTAATCTTAACAGTGTAAAAGATTCACGTATAGAATTTATATTGAATTAATTTACATTTACGATATGCTTTAGATACTGTATATCAGTTAACAAGTAATCAATATAGGAACAGTTACTATAGTAGCTATTAAATCTGTGATTGACAGATAATTAGATTGTTTCGCTTATAACACGCAGTACAAAGCCGAATTTTTATCCGAATTTGTGTTAAAATAGATTAGGAGACGAAGGAATTGTTGGAATACTTGTAATTTGTATAACTGTAGTTAATTTAATAAATAAATGTCTAATATTGAGAAAGTCTTAAATCTGATTAAGAAAATTTAATCACATTTTACTGCTTTAAACAACTTTAAAAACTTTAATAATATTGTACGTTAGTAATGTATTATTTAAATTCTATTATACACAATAATAGCCCTTATTAACATTAATGCGACAAATGAAGAGCACGGAGCGAAACAAAATTACTTAGTTTATTTCATTTAATAAAGTAAATTAAATAAGGAAATCAAGTCTGTTAATATTTAGAAGTAAATTTAATAAGTGTCAAGTTAAGAACGATATTTAGATATTTTCAAATATTCTAACTTCTACTTCAATTATTTTTAATGTCATTTATTAACTTCAAAAGCTTCTATTTTATGTAAATAATTGTAAAATAATAGTGAATAATAATATAAATCATTACCTTAAACAATTATAACGCGATATATAACCGAAAAAAATATCTTAATAAATCGATATTTCATAATTTTCATTTATTTACAACCAGTCAAGCACATCAAACAATTTAATTAAAATTAACTAGTGACATTCATAACTTGATTCGCGGTATAATTAAACATTCTTAAAGGTAAACTGTTCAATGATGCATTGCTGTCAATTTAACATTGAAAAATCTTTACTTTTTAATATTTTTTTTCCTTCTCTTTGATGACTTTAATACTCAGCCTAAACAAATTTTGATCCTATTTATGGTCGAATGAATATCTCGACACATAGATTGCTCGTTTCGGCATTATCCACATATGGTTAATCGAACCATCTGTTCAGAAATTGTAATTTCAAAACTGTCACTTTAATTATATTAAGTAAACTTAAAGAAGTTATATTTTTATTTACACCATGCTTTAACGCATGAAAAGTAAAATAAATCTTATTAAAACTTATAAGTTTTCAAATTGCAAATTATCATGTAAGCATTATTTATTATTTAAATGTAATTTTGAAAGTACGAAATAATGAATATTGATTTTTCTATAATTTTTAAATGTGAAAGTAATTATTTTTAGTAAATTTTAGTATTTTAATTTTATTTAAAGATAAAAGATGGCGACACGTGTTTTAGTATATTTTAATTTTTGCTATTATTCATAAAATTGAAAAAATAATTAATTAAATTAATGTTTTAAAATGTAAATTAATAGGTTATATTGATAAAATAATTAATACGTTTGAAAAAGTAATTTATAAAATATTTTCATAATTTATGTAAAAAAGTATAAATGTTTAATAATTATAAGAAAGTGTTAAGCATTTATTAAATAGAAAAAACAAGGACATTGGAAATTATAAAAAGAACTTTATTTCAGTATAAAAAAGGCTTAAAAGAAAGGTAATATAAAATATTTAAATATTTTCTCTGTACACGATATAGTAGCCTGAGTTGAAACTAGATGGCGGTACGAATCAGTACGTCTTATCAATACGAATGTTGGATACGTCCATTATTATTAAAATACTTTGTACTTGTAATTTCTGTAAATATTTATATAATTATTAATTTTTTAATAATTATTTTAAGTATTTTAACATATTAAAATAATAAAAACTTCATTTACTATTTAAGAAGCCTAAACAGTTCATTCACTGTTATAAGTTTTAAGTATATTTTATTAT